TCAGTCTCTGCCGAGGGCAACAACAAATATTGCTTTGCTATAGATCGCGGTGGAACCTTTACCGACGTGCTATGCATCTGTCCCGGCGGACGAGTGCGCACAATGAAGTTGCTCTCTGAAGATCCAGAGCGCTACAGTGACGCCCCCCGTGAGGGCATACGTCGTATTCTTAAAGAAGTGAGTCTATTACTATGAAAGATAAGGATTAAAACTAATCGCGCAAGGATGACAGGAAACTGGCGCTGATCTGACTGCAGCCGGCTTGGTGGACACGTCGAAAATTGGATGGGTGCGCATGGGCACCACCGTCGCTACAAATGCCCTGCTCGAACGGAAGGGTGATCCTGTTGTGCTGGTGGTCAACAGTGGCTTTCGTGATTTGCTATACATTGGCAACCAAGCACGTCCCAAAATATTTGACCTAAATATACGCAAGCCAGCGAATCTCTACCAGACAGTCGTCGAGGTTGACTGCCGCATCGTCCCAGAGCAGGCCGATCGCTGCCAACTAAGTGAGTTAATTTTATAATCACTTCTAGTACCTGTTGCTGATGATAGTCTATCCGCCAGATCACCAATGGAAGGTGCTACAGGGCATTACCGGATGTAGGTATCTGGAAGTGCAGCCAGTGGATGAGCTAACTGTGCGAGCCTCTTTGACCGCTGCCCGCCAACAGGGTATCAACTCTGTGGCTGTGGTACTGGCTCATAGTTACGCCTGTCCGGAGCATGAGTTGCGCATTGGAGCCATTGCAACGGAGCTTGGATTCAACCATGTGACGCTCTCGCACAAGGCCATGCCCATGTGCCGAGTAGTGGCCCGCGGCTACACAGCCTGTGCCGAGGCCTACCTGACGCCCCATGTGGATCGCTATCTAGCCAGGTGAGTGTGTCTGCTTCCCTTTCAATTGCACCTCCAGAATCTTGCTCATAAATTAAGGAATGAGATTGCTCTTTTGTACTGGAAGCTCTGAAGAATTCTAAACAGCTAAATACAATAAAGATAATGACAACAATAAAGACAAACAAATAAGAGAACTGCATGAAAAGCTCGGCCACCTCTACACACGTAATCATTGAGTGCCAAATGAAAATAAAGAGTTACTCTCTGAGAACAACACAGTCGCAGTAGAAATATTAGGCATACCTCTATTACAGTGTTTGTGTTTCGCCCCTATAGAAAGGGCTTAGCTGGGGCGACAATAGTTGATTAAGATATTAATCTTTAAATGCTGGATACATTTCAGTTTTAAATCGGGATTCGAAAATCAATTAGCTGGCGTTGATGTGCTCTTTATGCAATCGGATGGAGGCCTGACTAACATGGAGAACTTCCGTGGAGCACGTGCAATACTTTCGGGTCCTGCCGGTGGCGTCGTAGGCTATGCCCTGACGGGATCGCGTGAAACCGATCTGCCACTAATAGGCTTTGACATGGGCGGCACGTCTACCGATGTGTCCCGATATGCTGGCACTTATGAGCACGTTATTGAGAGCACCACGGCGGGCGTGACGATACAGGCACCTCAGCTCGATATCAACACTGTGGCAGCAGGCGGCGGCTCTCGGCTCTTCTTTCGGTCAGGCATATTTGTGGTAGGTCCAGAATCGGCTGGCTCCCATCCAGGTCCTGCTTGTTACAAGAAAGGAGGACCACTGACCGTTACGGATGCCAATTTGATACTGGGCAGAATACTTCCCCAGTATTTCCCAAAGATCTTCGGGCCAAATGAGAATGAGCCCCTTGATTATGAGCTAACCAAGCGTAAGTTCAGTGAGCTACAGTCAGATATCAATGAACATCTGAAGGCCAGTGGCGACTCCAGGGTACTGAGCATAGAGGAAGTTGCTCTGGGCTTTATTCGCGTTGCCAATGAAACAATGTGCCGCCCGATACGCGCTCTTACACAATCCCGAGGCTTGGACACCGCCAATCATGTCCTCTCTTGCTTTGGTGGCGCCGGCGGACAACATGCCTGCTCAATAGCTCGCAACCTGGGTATAGCTAAGGTTAGTACATGAACATCTTCGGGCAATCGATCAGTTATATCTATTACTATGTGCCTACAGGTGGTTATACATAAATACGCTGGAGTACTCTCAGCCTACGGCATGGCACTCGCCGACGTTGTCCAGGAGGTTCAGGAGCCCTGTGGAGCAGAATTTAATAATGCAAATGCACAGTTAATAAAGGATCGATTGGATGCACTATCAGTCCAATGTCGAGGCCAGCTGGCTGCTCAAGGTTTTAAGCAAATTGAACTTCAGGCATTCCTGCATCTGCGCTACGAGGCTACCGATGGCGCCTTGATGTGTACGGCCGCACCTGTTGAACAGAGTCAGTTGTCGGACCAATCCCCTTCCCCGTTACTATCCGCATACGGCGATTTCCATGCCACATTCTTGGAACGCTATCGCACAGAGTTTGGATTCGTGCTACAAAACCGTCGCATAATCGTTGATGATATTCGCATACGCGGCCTTGGAAAGAACGAGACGCCACCAGAGTTGCAGGTGGAGCAAGCACAAGAAGCGAGTCCCACAGCCGAGGGCTTGACAGAAGTTCACTTTGATCAAGGGACTTTCCAAACGCCCATCTACTTAACCAAGCATTTGCTAGCTGGCCATCAGATTTCCGGCCCTGCCGTACTTATCGATCAGCTGTCTACCATCATCGTGGAGCCCGAATGTACTGTTCAAGTGACCACCTATGGTGATCTTATTATGGACGTGCAAACCAGTGGAAAGCATGGCATTAATGCAGATCTGGATCCAGTACACCTCAGCATATTCAGTCACCGATTCATGAGTATTGCGGAGCAGATGGGAAGGTAACAAACATTCTCATTCTCGATAAGTTGCCTTGTGTAACGACGAACTTATACTATTTAATTCTTTCAGAGTACTTCAGCGCACTTCCATATCGACTAACATAAAGGAGCGTCTTGACTTTTCCTGTGCTCTCTTCGGGCCGGATGGTGGCCTGGTGAGCAATGCTCCACACATTCCCGTACATCTGGGTGCCATGCAGGAGACGGTGCAGTACCAGCTACGCGTGCGGGGTGATACCTTAAAGAATGGAGATGTTATTTTGGCAAATCATCCACAAGCTGGAGGCTCGCACCTGCCAGATCTTACCGTCATCACTCCTGTTTTCTTTAAGTAATGCATACACATTTGCACTGTCAATCCCATTTCTAAAACATCTTATTTTACAGATCGGAGCCACGCCCTGTTTTCTTTGTAGCTTCGCGTGGACATCATGCAGACATTGGCGGAATTACACCCGGCTCAATGCCTCCACATTCCACTTCGCTTGCTCAAGAAGGTGCAGCCTTCAAGTCCTTCCTTATTGTTGAGAATGGTGTATTTCAAGAGGAGAAGATTATACAACGGCTGACCACACCAACTGGCGCAAAGGGCGCCGTGGGCACGCGCAACCTCAGTGACAACCTGTCAGATCTAAAGGCACAGATTGCGGCCAACCACAAGGGCATCCACCTGGTATCGGAGCTCATTAGCAGCTACAGTCTCAATGTCGTGCAAGCCTATATGCATCACATTCAAAAGAACGCAGAGTTGGCGGTTCGCGACATGTTGCGTCAGATTGGCCGTGATACTTTGGAGCGCACAGGCTCCACTGTGCTAGTGGCCCAAGAATTTATGGATGACGGCTCCCCCATCTCGTTGCGCGTCACCATTGATCCAGAGAACGGTTCTGCTCTGTGTGATTTTAGTGGCTCCGGTGAAGAGGTCTGGGGTAATTGCAATGCTCCACGTGCCATAACGTTGTCAGCTCTCATATACTGTCTTCGCTGTATGGTGGGACATGATGTACCCCTTAACCAGGGCTGTTTGGCGCCAATTCAAGTGGTCATACCTAAAAATTCAATTTTGGATCCTTCCGAAGGCGCTGCTGTTGTTGGTGGAAATGTGCAAACCTCGCAGCGCATTGTGGATACCGTGCTAAAAGCCTTCCGTGTTTGTGCTGCTTCTCAGGGCTGCATGAATAACATAACAATTGGAGACGACCAATGGGGATACTACGAAACCGTCGCCGGCGGTGCTGGCGCTGGCCCAGGCTGGCATGGAGCTGGTGGAGTGCATACGCATATGACTAATACACGCATTACTGATCCGGAAATATTGGAATTACGCTATCCCATGATACTGAAGCGCTTCTGTCTGCGCACCGACGGCTCGGGTGGGCGTGGAAAATATGTTGGCGGCGAGGGAGTTGAACGTGATTTACTTTTCCGTAAACCGGTCACGTTATCAGTTCTGACTGAACGTCGCACGCTGCAACCATACGGCCTGGCTGGTGGTGGCCCGGGCAAGAGTGGACGTAACTTAATCATTAAACACGATGGACGCGTGATCGCGCTTGCGGGTAAAACCTGCATCGATGTTGAGGCTGGGGTGAGTGTAGTATGAAGTTCCACTGATACAGCATATAAATTATATATTCCTTAGGATACATTTGCTATGAAAACACCTGGCGGCGGTGGATATGGACTCGAAGACGACTCCTCTACAGTTGATCACTCCAAGCAAGGCATTGAGAACGTACAGAGGTTCGTGGAACGGGGCACTGTGCACAATTATCGTCAATCCCAGGAATCAGCTTAAATGTGCAATAAATGATGATTTCTTTATATTTGTTTTTGTATACATAAGTAAAAAATAACAAGATTTATTCATAAATGTGTTTACCAATAATTGCAAACGCATGTATAAGAATGAATGAGTATGTTCATCATCATTGACTAAATTAAATATTCATAATCAGCAAGAAACACAAATTGCACAAATTGTCTTTTCAGACCAAATAAATAACGGCAAACAGTTGGCTGTGAACTAGAGTGACCAGACTGTTTAATAAAAGGCCGGTCCAAGTTGAAGTAGGCATTTCCATGGAACAGCTGATTAAGTATCGATACCGAGCTCTTTTCAATCAGCTGGTTATGTTACTGTTAATGCTAAATAACATTGGTGCGAACAGTTTTATTAGCAGATTTTTTTGTAAACAATGTGGACGTGCACGTGTTGCGCTCATAAAACAAATTTAATTTAAAAATATCTCTGAGTGCTTTGAACAGTTTGCTTACTTGCAATTAATAAATATCTTACACGAAAATGGCCGCAATAACAGAAAAATCAAAAGACACGAATACTTTTCGCGTAAGTAGCTTTCGGTTTTTTGTGGCATTTTGAATCAATTTTCGTGTCTTCTTACAGTTCAAATCGTTCACCGATAGAGTGAATGAGATCGACTTGCGCCATTTGGCACTCTACCATATAGGCCACAAATATGAACAGCTCGAGGAGGCCGATAATGAGACGTACTTCCAACAAACGCTGCAGAAATGGAACGTGCTGAATCTTACCGAAGAGTACAACTCCTTCAGCAAGCAGTGCCGCAAGATAGTCACACTGCCGCAGCTGCTGCACCAGAAGGACTTTGTGATAGATCTGCTGCTAGAGCGCCTATCTACGGCCACAAATTTGTCCCAACAACCACTGCTGGAACTGCTCTATGTGTTGGCTCGCGATCTCCGTGAAGAGTTCTATGCTTACTTTCAGCGCGTGCTAGATCGACTGATATGCCTCCTGAACACTCAGGATGCCGAGCAACTGGAGTGGACGCTTATTTGTCTGGCCCATTTGTTCAAAACACTGAAGTCTTATCTAAAACGTAATATTGGCGTCGTCTTCAATGCGATTTTGCCGCTGTTGGACGAACAGCATTACGCAGAGCACGTGACAAACTTCGCCGTTGAGTGCTTTGCCTACATAGCCCGAGATGTTCGCGACTTTCCACGTTTCCTTGCCTACGTGCTGCAAACGGTGCTCCGGGAGCAGGTGGAAAGCGTGCATGGCTGTGGGCGTCTGTTATACGAGATACTGCGTGGAGTCAACGGTCACTTGCACACATGTGCTGCAGATCTTCTAGCTCATGTTCTGGAATTGCTAGTCAACTCCGACGGCAGCCACACCAGCGCCCAGACGTCGCTGCTCGCAGACATTGTGAGCCATTGCTTCGGGCTGCTGCTCAACTTTATGCGAGCCGATCAAAGTGTCGTGCTCTGGCAACAGCTCTGTGCTGCCATATCCAAGGAGGAGCTTAGCGGGGCAGCCACGGTGCAGCTACTGGAACTTATATTGCCCCTTATTACACATAAGGGCGGACGCTACGTAGCAGAGCTGTCGCTTTTGGTGCCCACGGTATTAAAGCTGCTTGATCGTCATATGAAGGCCAATGCAGAGCCGCTGCAGCAGCTGAGTACCTTGGTCAGCAGCTTGTTGCAGGCACCACAGGTGCAGCTCGACCAGCTGGATGCCAGTCGCATACTCCAAAAGCAGCTCAACGTCAGCAAAGTGTCACGCGAAGTGTACGCAGATTTCATTCTGCAGATGCTGGATTATAAGTTGTTTGAGATCATGGTGCTTCCACATGTTGTAGCGCACTATGAGGAGCACAAGGATATTGCAGCCCTCGAACTTTTGGCCCGTATTGTGCAGCACAAACGACCGCTAAATGTTGACGCTGTAAGCTTATCAAGTTGGTCGGTCTATCCCATGCAGCTGAAACAACAATCAACTCAGCAGCACTTGGAGCAGCAAATTCAACGCATTGATGTAACCGAGGAACGGCAACTGCTGCTGCTATTGCTGCTGCCTCATTTGCGCGGCTTCAATAAGCAGCCACTGGAAGCCAGCCTTAAGTCAGCCATCGAAGGTCAGCTGGCTCTAAATGCTGCCGAATGCACGCTGCTGCTACTGCTACTGCAGACCCACTCTCTGCTCAAGTTCAAGTTGCCCAAAGAGCTGCGCGCACAGCTGCAGCAGAGTTTGCTTCCACGCGTGGGTGGCGACTTGCGAGCACTGGGCTGTCTTCAGCTCATCTTAGTAAACACGGCCAAGGGAGATTGGACACCCAAAGCAACGGAAGATAGCTTAGCTGTTGTGTCCAAGCTACTAAGTGACCCGATGGCACAGCGTCGTCGCATTGCGGCGCATTGTTTGAAGTTGCTGGGTAACATTCAAGGCAAGCTCAATCCCTATGGATATTTTGCAGCCGCTTGTCGCATTGAGCCCACGGTTCACAATTACCGAGAACTACTGCTGCAGCTGCAACAGCTGGAGCCGGCGGCAGCCCAGTTTAAGCAATACGAACAGCTGCCGCATTACAAGGAGCATGCTGTCAGTTTGCTGCTCGGCTTGTTGTACAACAACTTCAAATTTATATGGGCACCGGTGCAGCAGCTGCTGGCAGAGTATGTCAAAGTCATGACCACAGAGGAGTTCTGGAACTTGTTTAAGGAAAAGCTTCTACAGACGGTCGCCTGCATTGACTACAATGTGGAGGCAACCAACTTGGAACAGCCACCACAGCCAAGCTACAGCTCCCATGCCCTCTCTTCGCTCTTGCCGCTGGATGGGGCGCAGCTACAGCTCACGCTGCAGCAAGCTCTGAACTACCGTCAACTGCTGTGGCAATGTATTCCCAAGTTTGGTCATATTGCCGAGGTGAAAAATGCGGACCTAGTGCGTCTCTTCTTGCAGTTCGTGGAGCGCGAATATCGTGCACAGCTGGAGCGCACCGAACACACGTGGAATTTGAATGAGTCAAGCGGTAAGCATTCCAACATATTCTCTAATCATTTCAACTTATGCTCTTATCATTCGGCTATTTCAGTTGATGACATTGAAGTTGACGATGGGGAAAACGAAAATTCTGAGAAGACTCCGACGACGAGTATGGCACGAAGCTCAACTGATCGCCATAAGAAGAAGACCCGCAATGCTCATGCTAAATTCATTCTTCAGACGCTGCAGCTTAAACTCGCTTGTTTCGTATCGCAACCGAACCCAAAGGCACTTCACCGGGAAGCAGAGATGCGTGAGTTTTATCTGGAGCTGCTCGCTGGTCCCAACGGGCTTCTGCAGCAGCTGGCGTTGGACTGCCTGGCCGCATACAAGCAGCCCGCTGCCCTAGTGCAGCAGAAACAACAGTTGGCGGGGCTCATCGACGATGGCAAGTTCAAGACAACGCTAACTGGCTTGGATTTAACTAGTTTGACTACGCAACAACGTAGCGAGTTGATTCCTTACATACTACGAGTGCTCTACGGCCACCTCATCAAGGGCGGCCAGCGCCAGCTTAGTGGACAGCAGCGCAAGACGCTGATTCTGCGCTTTCTGGGCCAGCTGGAGGAGGAGGAGATATTCAACTTTTTAAAAATGGCATTTGGACGCTTCGAGGCGTATACTAGCCAGCCCATCGATCTGCTGGCAGGATACGTAAAATCACATTTTGAGCCCACGGCTGTAACTTCTGCACGTCAACTGCAAAGAATTGTCAATCTGCTGGAGCTCATAAGGAAGGAGTTCGCGGGCCGCTTGAGCGCTGCCTTCCAACTGTACGTGCTGAAGCTGCTGCTCTTGGTGGGCAGTGTCTCGCAGCAGGTGATCGAGGGCAACGGCGTCGAAGCTGTCAAACTGATGGCAGCTTATAAGAACGTGCGACACGCAGCTCTGCAAACGCTGGTTAACTACTTTGGACAGCTGTTGGATATGTCCGAATTGTGGACTAAGGAACAGCTGCAGGCTGTTTGCCAGGTCTTTGTCTGGCCAGGCCTAAGCCGTCTGCCCCAAGACTCTATACACACGCCCACACCTCTGCTCAAGCTGCTGCTGCTGTGGGGTGGAGAGCCCGCGTATCAGAACTTGTTGCAGCAGAGTCCAACGCCCCAGTCGCCACCCATTATGCACTATCTGATTGCTCTGCTCCTGAACGAGAAATCCAAGCCCATAGTGCGACGATCACTTCTGCAGCTGGTCGAGCAACTGCTGGAGAGCGCCAGCACGGAAGAATATGGCCCGCAAGCCTTGGCGATTCTGCAGCCGTACATACCAGACGTGCTGCAGCTCATGCAGGCCAATTGGCGCCAGAAACGAGCCGGCAAGCAGACACTGGACAAAAGGGAGCTCAACATCTTGAGCCTCTTGACGGTGCACGTGCACCAGCCGGAAACGTGTGAGATGTTGCTACAGTTGCTGCTACCCATTTTCACCAAGCAGGCAGCGGGTGCGAGTGCCGAAACTGTTTTTCAGCTGATAACCACGCTGTCGAATCTGAGCAAGCGCGTGCCCGCTCCCGACAACTATGTGCGTCAGCTGGCGCCACTCTTCGAGCAGGTGCATGACCTGCCGGCACGTAAACTACTCTGCGAAATGCTTGCAAACATGGCCAAACACATAGTCAACGAGGCCAAAAAGCAGCCCGAGCTCTCCGCTGCTGCGACAAAGGTGCGGGAATGGGCACGCTTTGTACTACAGCTGAATGCCTGGGATAAGCGCTGGCTGGAGCAGCCCGATTATGACAAGCGGCTACAGGCACTAACCGAACTGAAGCAGCTGCTAGAGCAGAAGGATAATCAGAAGCCAATTGATCTAGAACTGGGCCTCTTGGTGACCTACAACTGTTTCTATATGCTGCGCCACGACTCGGACTTGGGCATGCGCGTCAACATTGGCGAGCTGCTAAAGATGTTGCTCCCGCAGCTCACCAACCAGCTGAAGCAGTTGTCCAGCAAGGATGAGCTGCGCTTCTGGCTAGATGAGTGTCTGCTGCCGTTGCTACAGCGCTGTGTGCGCGACGAACGCCATGAGCACGCACGAAACGAAGCCATTGGTCTGCTTGGAGAACTGGCACGCCAATGCTCAAATGCACATGAAGTGCTGCGCGATCTTGCCCCATTGGCCGACTCCCATGACGCAGAGGTGGACTTCTTTGAGAATATGCTTCATTTGCAGACACAGCGGCATGGACGTGGTTTGCAGCGTCTGGTCAACATAGCCGGCGGCGCCAGTTGGCGAGAGACTCCGCCGTGCGCGCGCACGCTCACCCAGTTCTTACTGCCGCTGGCCACACGATATTTGTTAAGTGAGAAGCATGCGGGCAAACACACCCTGGTGGACGCGGCAATCGAGGCGGTGGGCGTCATGTGTGAGCAGCTTCCCTGGCAGCAATACCACGCCGTCCTGCGTCATTATCTGCAGCGTCTGCGACTGGCCCATGGCCAGCAGAAGCAATGCGTTCGCTTGGTGGTGCGCATTCTCGACGCCTTCCATTTCGATCTAACCCATGCAAATACAGACGCGTCCCTTCTGGTCCAACTCAAACAAAAACTTGCCGAAACACCAGTTGAAACTACTGAGCAGACAAACGAAGAAGAATCGGAGGAAAAATCGGTTAAAGAAGAGCTTCCCGACGATAGCGCAGATATTGATTTTGATGGGGACAAAGATGAGGACAAGCTGGAGGAAGAGGAGCCAGTCAAGGAACGAAAGCTCTCCCAGCCATTGGCACCCAATGCGGCCAAGCGCGTCATGAGCACCATCACCAGTGTCCTGCTGCCCACACTCAATCGAGCCATTACCGAAAAGACCAATTATGACTCCAAGCACAAAGTTAACCGCCGCCGTCTGAGCTATGAGCGGGAAGAGGAGGAAATACAGCGTGTGCCCATTGCCTTGGCCATGGTCAAGCTATTGCAGAAGCTGCCACAGGAGCTATTGGATAACAGTTTGCCGGGTATGTCCTATAATATAGATGCTAATATTTGTGTATAGATTTTGAGCTGTCTGTTCTTTCGGTTGCCAGGCATTTTCATGAAGGTGTGCACATTCCTGCGATCACCTCTAAAGTCAGTTCGCATGCTCACCCGAGACATCCTGAAGAAGATCATGCTCACCCTTGGCGGCAGTTGCCTGGGTCTGCTGCTGGAGCAGCTGCAATCGTTGCTCACGCGTGGCTTCCAAGTGCACGTGCTGTCGGTGACGCTGCACGGAGTGCTGGACGCACTGCGTGACCAACTGCAGCCGGCGCACATCGAGCATTGCCTGCAAAACCTGCTCGAGGTAGCGCTTAACGACATCTTTGGCGATGTCAATGCCGAGAAGGAGGTGGACAAAATCGTTGCGCATACGCCTGAAGCAAAGCCCAGCGCCAAGAGCTATTTGACTCTGAATATTGCGGCGCGCTACATTCGCGACAATTGTCTGCTGGACCTGCTGATGCCCTTCAAGGAGCATCTGGCGCGCTCCCACTCGCGTAAGGTGACGCAAAAGATACAGGAGTGCTTTGCCAAGATTGTAGCTGGTCTTGTGGAGAACACACACATAGCCCGAGAGAGTCTGTTGATTTTCATTTACGGCACCATGTCGGAGAGCATCACAGACTTGCTGCCGGGCACACAGAAGAGGCAGCTTACCGAAAAGCAACAGGCGCTGATGCGTCGGGCCCGGCCTGACTGCCTGCTGCTGCAGCCAGCGCCTGGACGCCGTAGCGTTGCAGCTGGCAACAAGCAGGTCAAGTCCAACGCCCAAGCCAACGCACACATACTGATCGAATTCGGACTGGAGCTGCTTCATTTCGTGCTGAAACGTAAAAAGATTGCGGAACTGGATTATCAGCCTTTCCTGCATCCGTTGCTGCCTCTGCTGCAGGACGCCTTGAGCAGCAATCACGCCAGGACCACAACTTATGCACTTAAGTGCTACACAGCGATCTGGATGGGCGAGTATCAGCTATCGGAACTTAGCACCGAACAACTGTTCCCGGTAGTGGGCCGCATGTTTGAGATCCTGAAAAACTTCTCCACCTTCGGAGCCACTCGGCAGGAAGAAAACGCACAGCTGGTGCGTGCCAGCTTTAAGGCGGTTGTGGCGCTGTTACGGAAATGCCAAGACTATGCCCTGACCGACGATCAGATAGAGCAGTTGCTGTTGCACGTAGAGCAGGAACTGCAGGAGGGCGAGTGCAGTAGCCAAACGATGTGCTTCACGCTGCTGAAGGCGCTGGTGGGACGCAAGGTGGACTCGCGCTCCCTGCACGATCTAATGAAACGTCTGGCCGACTTGTCCATTATCTCCCATTCAGATCATGTGCGCGACGAGTCGCGAACGATTCTCCTTATATACATCATGGAGTACCCGTTACAGAAGCGCGTCGATCAGCTACTCAAGTTCATGTCCGTGCAGCTGGCCTACACTCAGTCTGCTGGACGGCTGTCGGCCATTCAATTTATGCACGCCATCATCAACAAGTTCCCATTACAGTTGCTGGCCAAGCACTCCGAATTTCTGTACCTCTCTCTGGGCACGCGTTTGGTTAATGACGAGGACACCGGATGCCGCCGCGCTGTGGCCGCCGCTCTGGAGGCGTTAGTCGGGCGACTAACCAAACTGCAGCGACAGCCGTTGCTGGACCTAACCATGCTATTCTTCACCTCGCCGCAGTCGAGTCAGAAGCCAGGTGTGCGTGAGCTCGCTGCTGCGCTGCTGTCCCGCTTTGTGCAAGCAGAGCGCGCAGGCTTCGCTGAGCGACTATCCCACGTGTTGCCCACGCTGGTCGCCGTGCTAACTCTGGGCGATGCAGATGCAGCTGGAAAATTCGTACGTGCTCCTGGACGTGAGACACTCCCTGTGAGTGAGCCTAAGCAGCGGCATAAGCGACGACGAAAGGTAACTAAATCTTAATGCAAATGTTTAACAATTTAATGCAAAACGTTTGGTGTTTTCTTTTTAGCAATCTAGCGGAGCGGCTGATGAAGAGATTTTGCTCAATGAAGACCCGGAGGCGCTGTTGGAGCAGCAACAACGCAATGTCGACCATCAGGTAATACAGCTGCAGTATTGCCTGCTAAAGATATTCGAGCATTGTGGCGAGACCTTGATGAGCGACCAAGAACTGGCACCAACAGTGGATGAGTTAGCGTATGCCAGTCAGAGGCTTCTCGGCCACGAGCACAATTGGATACGGTGCAATGCTGCAAAGCTGCTAACGCAGATTTTGTCGCACTACGATTATGCGTATGTGGGCCAGCGGCTGTTGGGTATTAAATGTGAAAAGGCAGAGGATACCAAGGTGTTGGAATTTATATACGGACAGCCAGCGCAAGATCTCAAAAGCTTGGTGCTAGACCTGTGCGCCCAGGTGACTCCGGGCGAGACAGCGCAGGAAATGATTGACGAGTTGGTCAAGATTCTGCTTTTTGTTGCACACATGCTCAGGGATGTGCCTTTCAGCATCAAACAGGAGGAAGATGTTGCGAAAAAAGAGGAAGTACCAGCTGGAAAAATCAATCTCAATTGGTTGGTACGCAATATACGCTTCCTAATCAACAAGGAGGTATCCAAGGCACCACACGACACCAGCATTGTAAGTGAGAGCATCCATAAATCCCTTGCTATGGCTAATTCTTGAATCTATCTTTAGCGAACGGCTCTATTCTCTCTCATCGAGGGCTTGTCGACGTTGCTCAGTGTTGATGCAGTGACGCGTTTGGCCCCGGCCTTGATGCAGGGACTTGTACGCGAAATGTCTGAAGAGGATCAAAACGTCGATCCAGAACTGCGCCAGTTGTCGTTGCGAGTGGGCAGCCGATTACGCAAACGCATAGGAGCCGAGACATACGACAAACTGCGCAATCTTGTGCAGAATAAGTTGATGGTGCGTCGTGCCGAGCGCCGCAAAGCTGTGGCTCAGGAGAAGATTCATGACCCAGCGCGAGCCGCCAAGCGCAAGGCCGGAATGCAGGAGCGAAAGAAGGCGGCCAAGCGCCTCAAGACAGCTGTGGTGCGCGGCAAGGCACCTGACATGAAACAGAAACTCAAGAAGCGCAAACGGAAAGCTGAAATGGAGAGTTTCTAGGCAGTTTTGTTTACCATAAGTAAAACAGGTTTTTATATATTTCCATATAACTACTCCTATTAAATATGCTTTATCTTAACTAAATTACATTGCAATGAGAACGATTAAACAATTTAGTGATACTTGTCAAAATAAGGATAAGGTAAAATTGGCTTAAATGCACTTCATGCTGATTGTAAAATGTAGACAGCACAAACTAGCCTTAACAATACTTTTGGTTTCCAGTAGCTATTATAAAATAATCAACAATGTGGTCAAAGTTCAAGTTTAATATTGAAATTATTACACTAAAAGAGTTCGGCAGCAATTTAAATATTAACTTTGGCTCGGATTTAGTTCAGTTTGGACAATACACGATCGCTGTTCGTCAGTTGAAGCAGGAACTTGGACACGTAAGCCAAAAGCATCAGAACTAGCGTAGTGACCTCCATAATTACGAAATGCGATATGGAAGAGCCTATTTCCATCCAGGAGCCGGTATTACGCACCAAAAACAGAAAATTCAAACCCATGATATCGCAGATGAGCAACAGACAGATGAAAATTTGTCGTTCGTTCAACCGCGCATACTCGCTGTATGTGTAAACAATAGATATATTGGTTACAATAGGTAGGAGGAGCTTGAGCAGCACCAGCGACATGATGACAAACGGTGCAAAGTGGCTAAGAAAGCAGCGAGCGATGTTCGGGTCGAATGAACTGATTGATGCAATATTTCCGCTGCCGAAGAGCGAGAAGAATGTGTACAGTATTAACGTAAAGGCTATGCGTAGAGATGACTGCAGACTCTTTTGCTGATGCTGCAGTGGCTCGACCTGAGCACGCTGCTCTGCAAGTGACGTTGTTAATTCGATGGCCAGCAGCTGAACGAATAAAGATTCATACGACGTGCACATCGTGGTGTACAGTGTTCCCAGATTGTAGCAAATATGTTGCAGTCGCACCTCCAAAGCGGTCTCCTTGCTGAGGTGAATGGAGACAAATGCATACGCCAGATAGAGCCAACTGAGGATTTTCAAAGGCAGCGGCGCAGCTATCTGCTGGTTATGCAGATTCACGCACACAGCGGTGTTTACCAATATAGCTGTATTGCACCACCTGCTGTGCCATTTGAAGTTATCTTTCGCTTTGCTTAAAAATTGGCGAAACAGTAAGAGTAGAATACCCGCCAGCAACAGGGAACAATTTTGGTATCCCACAGACGGTGGAACCAGTGGGAAGCACGCCAGTGCAACGATTAACATCAGCCATAGGTAGAACGATCGTTTCGTCTTAAATGTATCCCAATTGCTATAAAGAGCAAAAGCAACAAAGCAAAGCGAAATCAGGCGACGCTCGAAAAAGGTAAAGACCAGCAGCTCAGCGCAGCCGATTAGAAGTAGCAACTGCATTATGGAGGCCTTCGTTTGAGTTTCAACTGCCGGTTGGTTGTAAACCGGAACATTGATGAGGTCCTCATTGCTGTTTGGAACTTGCCGAAGTGCGAATATCCAGACGGGTAGAGGCAGCAGCAAATAAAAGCTCACGGAGAGCGGAACACGTTGAACCACAACGAAGCCAATCAGCAGTGCAATTGCAATCCATAGACAAACGGTGATCTTGGATGCATGATCATTCTTATGTGAATCCAATTTTTGGGGTTCAGCATCTTGAGCTAGCAATCGATATAAATAAAACATCCAACCCAAAAATGTGGCCGTTGTAGATAGTAGCATAGCGTTGCAATAATATCCTTGATAGTAATCGATTCCTTCTAGGGCCAACTCCATTACGACAGCACTGTTTGCCAGCGATTCATCAAATTGGTTCAGCTTAAACGATGTACTAATATAGCCCACATATTCGGCGATTAGCTCCGAAGTTAACTGGTGGAAACTATTCAAAATTGGGGCAAACAGGCCGCGCATGTGCTGCTCCTGCAATCGAACATATTGGGCCAGAAGCTGCAATGCATTAGTCTGCGCTGCCATGGCTTCATATCTAGCCTCCGTGCCCAAAAAGCCATACGGCAATCTACCAAAATTGTTCATTGGTGGTGGGAGTCCAATTAAAGCCGACATTAATGGGGTTAGCTGCGCCTGTTCCACTTCGCGTAATGGCAATGTCAGGCCATCATCATTTGCCTCAAATGTGATACCTGCATAAACGCTGCTGGCGACGCCAGATCCCCAGAGCATAAAGGGCGTATCTGTTTCATACTGATCTCCAGCACCGTGAGACCCTACAAAGGAATAGGAAAGCCATTTATACTGAAAGCCGATGGAGCAATTTAATTGAATGTTTACCTGAATTTGTCATGCCATGATCTGATGTCAGCAAATAAGCTGTTCGTTGATCTGGAAAAGTCGCTTCGAATTCCTTATAAATTTTCCATATTTCGTGCTCTGTGTAGTTGAGGTTTTCGAGGAAAAGACGTGTACCCGGTTTATGTACATGTCCGGCTGTATCTAGACCCAGCAAATGCAAAAAGAACACTACCCGCTTAGCCTTTCTTAACTCTTCTCGTTTGCGATTCAACAGCAAGCGCACCCTCTCAAACACCCACTCGTCCTGCTTATAGGTCTTCTTCTCGCCTGAGAAATCTAGATCATGATTGTAGGAATCAAAGTGCATTGGTCGGCCGCTATCAGCAAGCTTTTCAAATATATGCAGAACATCATGAGCGCCCCAAGCATATGTTTGATCACTCCGGTTAAACAACGTATCGAATTCGATGGGGTTTTCCTTCCAGCCCCGCGTTACTGCCGATGGGTCCTCGTACAGACCGGCGATAAGCGCAATATGTCCGGGGCGTGACTCCGTTGGGACGCGAGTGCGCGAAATGCCAACTATCCCCTCCTTCACAAATATCTCGCGCAGATGTGGCACTTGATTGCAATTGTTTGCAAAGAATGATTCTGCCCGCAGTCCATCAGTGACTATTAGCACCAGGCGGTCGGCAGGCGGCTCGCCTTTCAGCCTAGGCTGTGGTTCCAGTCCCTTTATGACAGGTGACCGAAAATATATAACGAATATAGAGCCCAGTAGCAATATATGCACCAGAAAAGCATAAATTATCCACATTGCCACACAAAATTCAAAATACTGACTAACAAATCATGTGTTGACAATCGGGCATCGAGTATGAAAACTGGATACGATAGCTATATTAATCGATAGTCGATTTGCAAATAACAAGTCGGTTCAAAAGAAATAATTACGAACAGCTAACACTGTTAATGCAAAAAATGTATATAATTATATTACACTAACAAATATTAAAAATTTCAAATGAAAGTTTTTTATATTATTCTCGCGGCCTATTGAGCAATGAAAGCCCAAATGAACTGTTATCGATTCAACTAAAGGAACTAGTTCTTATAGATTACACAAGCAGCTCGTTCAAATATCCAGCAAGTGTGTGCTGTTGAAGTTTATAATGCATCAGTGGCGTTATTATGTGTGTCGAGCGTTGGCTAGGAGCCGGCTATACTCTACACAGCCCCATGGCGATATTTATGATGTAGTTGTCATCGGAGGAGGTCATGCCGGCACAGAGGCGTGTGCAGCTGCAGCACGCATGGGCGCCCGCACATTGTTGCTTACCCATAAACTGGATACAATTGGCGAGATGTCGTGTAATCCGTCCTTTGGAGGCATCGGCAAGGGACATCTAATGCGTGAAATTGACGCACTGGACGGCGTCTGTGCCCGTTGCTGTGATCGCTCAGGTGTGCACTATAAGGTGTTGAATAAGCGCCGCGGACCCGCTGTGTGGGGACCGAGGGCCCAAATTGACCGCCAGCTATACAAGCGAGCTGTTCAGCAGGAACTGTTTAGCATGCCAAATCTGCAGATCCGTGCCGCATCCGTAGATAATCTTCAAATCGATGCAGATGAAAGCACTAGCAATGGAACACGTTGCAATGGCGTGCTGTTGGAGAATGGAGAGCTGGTGCGCAGCCATTCAGTGGTGCTCACAACGGGCACCTTCCTGCGCGCACACATCAACATCGGATTGGAAGTGAGACCGGCAGGACGTATCGGGGACCAGCCTGCCAAGGCGCTCGGCGAAGCTCTCAACAGACTGGGCTTTCGAATGGGACGGTTAAAGACTGGAACACCGCCAAGGATAGCCAAGAGTAGCGTTGACTTTTCACAGTTAGAGAGACACGAGGCCGACGATCCACCCATGCCGTTCTCGTTTATGAATCGCGATGTTTGGCTGCCCGCCAAGGAGCAGATGCACTGTTATCTGACCTATACGACGCCACGTGTCAATGAGATTGTACGCGATAATTTGCACGTCAATCGGCACGTCACAGAGGAAATAACGGGTCCACGCTACTGCCCATCAATTGAATCGAAGGTCTTGCGATTTGGTGCTAGGGTCCATCAAGTTTGGCTGGAGCCAGAGGGATTCGATAGCCCATTGATTTATCCACAGGGTATATCATGTACTTTGCCGCACCCCCAGCAAATCGAACTGGTGCGTGCAATTAAGGGCCTAGAGAAAGCTGAGGTGGTGCAGCCCGGCTATGGTGTGGAGTACGACTTCATAGATCCCCGTGAACTATATCCTACGCTGGAAACGAAGCGTGTGACTGGCCTCTTCTTCGCCGGCCAGCTGAATGGAACTACAGGATACGAAGAGGCTGCCGCCCAGGGAATTATAGCTGGTGCGAATGCGGCGGGCAGGACTGTTCATCAAGATGGCCGGCAATTAAATATTAGCCGTACTGAAGGCTACATTGGCGTATTAATTGACGACCTCACCTCGCTGGGCACCAACGAACCGTACCGCATGTTCACTAGTCGAGCTGAATTCCGACTATCTCTGCGACCAGATAACGCCGACATGCGTCTCACTCGGAAAGGCCACGAATTTGGGCTGGTCAGTGAGCAGCGTTACGAGCACTTCCAGCAGACAGAGCATAGGCTTAAACGCGGCATTGAGGCACTTAGGAGCTTGCAGAAGCACAGTAATTACTGGCGCCAAGCCTTAGGCCTGCCACAATCCAAGGCTTCCATACAGAAATCTGCATTCGATATGCTTTCCGTGCCGGCGGAAAACATTTCAGTCAAACAACTCATCGAACTATGTCCGACTGAATTAGGCTGGTTGCGTGCAGACGACGAGTTGGCCACCAGACTGAAGATTGAGGCGCTCTACTCGTTCTTTGTGGATGAGCAACAGCGCGACGTAGAAGATGTTAGACGAGAGGAGCGCTTGTGTATACCTAGCGACATCGATTACTTCTCCAAATCTTTGAGTCTCTCGAATGAGGAGCGCCAAAAACTGACGCTCATACAACCACAAACAATTGCCGCAGCTAGCCGTATTCAAGGCGTTACGCCTTCGACAATACTGCGATTACTAAAATATGTTAAGAAGTCAGATGCCTTGCGAACTGTCCCCGAATTTAGTTGAGAGAGGTATTTGAGTAGCCTTTGTTGAATATGTGAGATACTGTAGTAAATATGTTTTAATAAGTCATTTAAATATAAGTACGGTAGATTGACCAAAGTTTCCCACGAGAGACATTTAGCATTCACAGATTAGTTGATGGTGGTATAAGTTAAAGACTAAATGAAATGTGTATATATTCCACTAAATATATACGCTCAAAATAAAAATAATTTTTGTGATAAAAAATTATTTTATATAATTTTTCTATTTTAAAACTTGTTATAAAAAACATTATTTTGTCTTCCCAATTAAACAAAATCCGTTTTTTATCATAGTGGAGCCATTACAATTTGAGGAATTTTAATCACTTTGAGAATAGAAGAGACAAATTCAAGGTTACTAAATTTTTTTTAAAATTATTGATCAATTAAAACCACTTCAGTTTAATCTCTTACGTACAGTTTATTCAATAAAATCATAAATGCCTTAAGTAAAGTTGCACAAGATTGTTTGTTATAATTTGTTGCATGTGTCACACGACATCATTTGTAGTTACTGGATGTGTTGGTTGTTGGTGGATGCATATTATTGCTATAATCATGGCATCGACGTTTACGGTTAACGGCATTTGTTGCTCAAAATATGCTGCTCAATGATCTCTATTTGGATTTGTTGTTTGGTTAGCTTAAAAATTATGTTTTACACGTTTTGTTTTTTTGTTTGTTTTTTTTTTTTTTTTTTTTTTTTTTTTTTTTTTTTTCTGTATTCTGTTTTACACACACAACGAAGATTGAGGGAGAAATACGTTTAATTTATGTATTTTGTTTAGGTTTGTATTTGAAACTATTATGCATTATTTATATTTCAATTGCTTTCGCATTTTGTGGATTAAGTTTACATATATTTTATGCGCACCAATTCATTATCCGTATTGTATTATCCATTATCCAAGAACTATTTTGATATTATTCGCTAGCTTACAAGCTTCAATCAAATGTTCCGATCTTAAGTTTCTGACAATCGTTTCTTTAAAAAACTTTTTTGGCTGATATGAGAACTGAAAAGATTTATTCGAAGTGAACCGAGAAATTTTTGTATCAAGATAGATCGAAAGTCTTGTAAGCTAGTGTACTTAATAAAAATATATTCATTTTCAGTTTAACTGATATATTCATACCCACATTTATGTAAGTTTTTTTTTCCATTTATTTTTGTTTTTATGCCTTTGATAAGATTGTATCAATAAGAGAAAAAAATATGGGATTTGCATAGTCTGGATGGGCATGGAAATATATTCGGAGAGTCTTGCGATCAATGCGACGATAATGAGTTATATTCAATTTATAGATATTAGCTCGATGCTTCGTACGCTATAATTTGTCGAGTTTTCTTTTTCTTTTTGTTTTCCATTTCTTTTCTTTTTATAATATCACAGATTGCTCGAGATTTGTATGCTTAAAAAAATAAATGATTTTTAGGCAATCTCAAACATAAACTAAAACTGATACTTAAATTAAATTAAATATAGTTATGTCTGAATTTTGTTTGGATATCAGATATTTGCTACTTAATATGTATGCATCAATTGGGTATATATAATAATTAAATATAATGGCAATGATATTTTTGGTACATAATAATGAATGTGGTGTGGCTGGGTATCTTAAGGGTTTTGCTTAGCTCTGAATATTGGCTAAGTAATTACTTGGTTAGTCTGCATCTGTTTCAATTATATCATTATAAAATTTGCTTGTATAAAAACTGAAAATAGAAAATAGAAACTCCGTTTATAAGGGCCAAAAAGTTGCTCACATAATATGGTACAAAAATTCGAAAATTTCGAAAAATAATTTAAGCTTTTCGCATTTTTTGCTAATCCGTTCCAGATTACACATTTTGATTTGTTTTATATTTCTGTTTTTTTTTCTTTTCTTTTGTTTTTACCTAAATGTCAGTTCCGTTTTATCCACCTTGTAGTTGTGTTCAATTTACATAATACACACATTTTTATAATTTTTTGTTCTTTACGTTTTTTTCGTACTCTCCAAAATCACAATTATTAGCAATTTAAGAATAAAATATAACTATTCAGTTTGAAAGTTCTGTTACTGTTTCTATTTTGTTTTGTATATATATAAATTTCTTACGAGCTTTTTAATCTAAAATTGTACAACTATCATTAAATCGCAAGGATTGTGTTCTAGAGTGTGAGTTTCCATACATTCAGAGTTCTTTGATTAGACAAAGTATTATTTGTAATGTAATTAATCATATAATTATTAAATTGAGTATCTCACAATATTTATATTTATATTTCTATATATATTTATATTTATACAGTATTAACTTTACATTTCATGCAATTGTAGTTGATCTTGACACGAATTCACACATTCAAATACATCGAGTTTGTGGAATTGTGGCTAACTTTGGATTAACATTAGATTGTAACACCGAGAGAACAAACAAATATGTGATATCCGCTAAGAGGGTTTTACACACTAGTAGGTATGCATATTAATGTACGTTTATATGGCGGCGATACAGCCAATTGTCCAGCGTAAACCCTAAAGCTTTAGAAACTCATCGAGCATTCGCTTGCGCTGCTGGTGCAGCGCCCGTTCCGACAGGAGATACATCCCAATATCGCCAAAGTTTTTCATTAGTTAGTTGTTCGAGTTGCTGAAGAGCTGATGTCATAAGGCTGTAGCCTCCTCAGCAGTAGTGCTGCGACCGAGTGACTGCACCGAACTTTTGTTGTCCTCTAGAATAAACAAACATATATAAATATTATTATAAAAATTATTATATGGGGATTCTTATAAATGGTTATACATACGCTCAGGAAAAGTATTATTCGTAAAAATATATATTTCATATACTTTTCATAATTTGATTACGCATCTGTAACAACTCATAATAAATAATATAAATTCGATAATAGATTGAAATAAAAAGTGCAATCAATTTATAAACAAAATGATTTATTTGGGCAATTCTAGAGCAAACATTTGACAATTAAATAAAAAGAAATCATATTAGATAATAATAAGTGTAATCGTAATGTTAATAGTAGTATGCATTTAATATTGAACACGATCAACTGTGATCAACCCTAGGCGATGAGGATGATGATGCAATACATTACAAATTATTGTATACTCTCGTTTATAAATAAACATTTGGATTAACGGCTATGTTGAAGGTAGATGATGTTAACTAGTTTCGATCTCACGAACTACTAACTACGTTCCCATTATTGGGTCTCTCTGTCTCTCTCTAATTTAAGCGATGGATCATCGCGATGTTTCGGCAATGGGCGTGGCACTCGTCGACACCTCGTCAGCGGCAGGCGTGGCTGTTGCCGCCGTCGTTGCTGCTGCCGCTATATTTGTGCTGCTGCTGACCACCGGCGGCGAGTTGCTGCCACTGGTGGTGGAGGTGACTGCGCTGCCACATGACGCCGCTGCCGCATCGTCCGGCGACAGCTTTGTTCGCTGCGGCACCGGCGGCGTTGGCGTCGCTTCAACCTGCTCTGATTGCTCCTGCTTCGGGGCAGGCGGCGTGCTGGCCGCTACAATCTTAGGAGTGATCTCCGTACTGCTATTACCTTGTGAGCCGCCAGTCGCCGCTCCAGTGGCTGTTGCGCCGCTCGAGTTGTTGTTGGTGACGTTGGTGTTGGCGTTGCTGCTGCTGTTGTTGTCCGCGTTAGGTGGACTCGCGCTGCGACGGGACGAGTTCTCCGGCGAGCTGTCCGGCAGCAGCGTTTTCTCCTGATTGGCGCTGGCATTCGGCGTGGCCGGCTTCTTCTCGAGTGCCACCGGGGGCGTGGCGCTCTGTAGTGGATCCTCCTTGCCGACCGCCAGTGAAGTGGGCTCCTTGCCGTCCGTGGGCCCGTTCGACTCGATGCCGTTCAGCTCATGCGCAGCGGATGTGCTATTGCTGGCACTCGACTGGGCCTGGTTGCTCGAATTCGAATTGGAGCCGGTCAGGTCTAGCGTCGCCGGCTCGTGCGTGAGCGGCGTCGGTGCCGCGCCTCCGCTCTTCTCCATGAGCTGCTGCGACTGCTGCTGGGCAGCGGCTGCGACAACGGCGGCAATATGGTGTCGCATGGCGTGGGGGCTGCTAGCGGCGCGCGAGCCTCCATTGGGGGCCGAGCCTAGGGGTGGCGTAATCTTCGGCGACGTCGGATGCGCAGCGCCACTAAGCGGCTGCTGATGGGCGGCGACAGGAGTGAGGCCGCTGGCAGCCGCTGCTGCGTGCATGGCGGCCAGGTGTCCATGGTGGTAGTAGTGGCTCATGGTCGGAATGTGCGAGCTGGGCGTGGACGTGGTCTGAGCCATGCTGCTGGTGGCCACCGTCAGGTTAAGGCTGCTGTGCGGCGACGACGACGTGGCCACCGCACTGCTGGCCACCACCCCGGGACTGGGCCCAGCCGACGAGCTGGCGACAGAGTGCGGCGGCAGCTGGTGCACCGCATGATGCGGCGAGAGGTGCGGATGGCTCAGATTGAGGCTGTGTGGATGCGGGCCCAGGCCGAGCGCCGCGGCTGCCGAGAAGCCTGGATGGGTGAGCCCAGCCCCTGGATGAGCAGCGAGACCCATGGCCTGCTGCAAGTGATGCTGCAGATTGGCGGGTCCGTGGCCCGGCAATGTCGGCATGCCGGCCATGCCCAGATTGAGCCCCATCGGGCTCTGGCGCTGCGCATTGGCAGCCGCCGCGTGATAGTGCGACATGCCAGCCAGACCGTGCAGGCCGGCGGGCGGGCCGCGCAGGCCCAGATTGATGTGCGGCATCATGGAGCCGAGCAGGTTGCGATTGAGCGGCGCGTACAGCTGGTTGGAGTAGTGGTGCGTGGCGTTCAGCAGCTGCTGGCGCTCACGCTCTCTGGCCTCGCGCTCCTCCTCGCGCATTTTGCGCTCGCGCGCCTCCTTCTCCTTCTGCTCCTTCTCGCGCTGCTCCTTTTCGCGCTGCTCCCGCTCCCGTTCACGCTGCTCCCGTTCCCGCTCGCGCTGCTCCTTCTCGCGCTGCTCACGCAGCTCCCGTTCCTTTTCGCGCTGCAGCTCACGCTCTCGCTCCTCCTCGCGCGCCAGACGCGCCCGATGCTCCTCCTCCAGCTTAAGGCGGTCGTGCATTGCCGGCGACATGCCCAGCGCTGCGCCGGGCATCATCGAGTACAGATGCGAATAGGGTGAGGCCATGGGGGGGTAGAGCGCCGCTGCATGCGGATGCCCATGATGGCCGCCGGCCGCACGAAACAGCTGGTAGCGATGCTCCAAGTACAGCGGATCCGAGTAGGGCAGACCAGCCGCCGGATTCAGAAATGCTGCAACGAGGATATTCATTAGCTATAAGTTTCCTTGATGTGCATCTCAAGTCTCTGCTTACCTGCTGGAGGAATGCCGGGCAGGCCGGCAAAGTGCGAGTAGGCCTCCAGGGGAAAGGCACCTGCCGGATGCATCAGTCGCTCATCAGATCTGTAGGGCTGGAATCCACTGCGTGCCAGCAGCTCCGGCTGCATAGCTGCCTGCGGCGTATGACTCAGCCGGGCCATTTTCTCTGGCGGCTGCGGCGATGGCGGCGAACGCTTCTTGTTCGCCGCCACGCGATCCTCGGCGGATGAGACTCCGCCGCGTCCGGCCACCGAGTTGAGCGGCACAGGTACGGGGCCGGCGTTGGGCGGCATCGGTGGTGCCGCTGATGTGGGCACATTGCGCTCCCGGGCCACATTGACCGCATCGTCCTCCTCCTTGATGTCCGCCTGCTTGGCCAGTGTGCGCAGCGCCGCGGCGAATGAGCCGCGTGCGTTGGCCGCTGAGGCTGCATTGATGGCGCCCGGTGGCACGCCCACGCCCGCCAGCTGCTGCTGCACAGCGGCAGCTACAGCCTGCTGATGCGCCTGATGCTGCTGCTGCTGCTGCTGTTGTTGTTGCTGCTGTTGCTGCTGCTGCTGCTGCTGTTGCTGCTGGGGCGACTGGGCGCTATGGTGGTTGGTGGGCAGGGCGTGGTTCAGCAGTGCACCGCTCGACGTCGGCGGAGCCGGACTATTCCCAACGGATGCGCCCGGCACGCTGCCCGCGTTCGGCGGCGTCTGCAGATGATGCGGCACGGGTATGTGGGGCGCCGGGCTGGTGGCCGGTCGCTTCTGGCCAGCCTTGGGCGGCACTGCAAGTAGAGAAAAGAGGGAAAAGAGAAGAGAGAAAAGTTAGTGTAGCTCTATTGTAGTGCCTGCTTTAGACTAGTCAATATTGATTTAGTTAAGGCTTCAGTCTAAGCCACAGATTTTCGCTGTTTACTTGACCCGCCTGAAGCAACTCCTCCCCTTCCCTTCCCTTGCCCAAAAGAGGATTACATGGAGCGCTTGTGCGAATAGCCTGTGCTAATAACTGATTGATGTCGCTCGCCTGCACAGAGGGAGGCGCCACCGCCTCGGCTCTGCCCGCTGCATGCGCTCGATGCGGGCCCAGTGCAAGGACTTTTGGCCATTTGCTGTGACACCGAAATGCAAATGCCAAGGCCTGAAACTTGAATTTCGGACACGAGCACAGACATGGACATGGACACGGACATGGACATCCCCAATTCCCCATCCCCATCCCCATCCCCTTCCCCATTCCCATTCCCATCCTCAGTCATTTCATTTACCACGTACTTTCGTTCTTTTGAGCACCTCTCGCTCACGGTGCAAATTGCACGCCCAACGAGTTTATCGATTCCAGTTGCTCGTTTCGTTTCGTTCGGGCCAAATTGCTTTCAGATATGACGGCCACGCCCCGTTGCTCCGCCCCTTTCAGGTCAGCAACAGAAGCTCAGCTGCTTTCACTGTCTCGACGCGCATTCCCAATGCCAAAATGGAATTTACCGAGCTTGACGACAACGAAAACCATTTGCCAACAGCGCTCCTTGTGGGGCACGGCAAGCGGATTAAAGGCTATCGCCGTCATCATCGTGCGGATGATATTCCTTATCTGCAGTGCTCGACGCACAATCTAGTTGTCTCTGCTGAATCTCGGTAATCCACATTTCCCCATTGCCACACACAACTTATTGACAATGTCTGAGAATACCAGAAATTTGTGAATAGCAGCTAGAGGCAGCTCGAATCCTATAGGAGAGATTTCTGTTGTTGACTTTGCCCCATTTCGAACGTGTCTAATATTTGCGCAGGCAATGCGAATCGGCAGGAGCCTAGCCACCCAATCGCAGAACTTTTCATTAAATGCACAAAATGCATTCAAGGATTTTTATGTGCGTGCCTCGCCAATGCAGTCGAGCGCAAAGCCTTCTGCCTGTTACCGGCTCCTGCTTTCGGCTGGTGGCTGGTGGATGGGCTGGTGGCTGGTGGCTGGGCCGTTGCCATTCGATGCGAGCCCAACAACGGCAGCCGTTGCCTAAGCTCCTGGCTGGATTGGTTGCCTCGCTGGTCGCCACACCACACCCCGCCCGCAGAGGAGCAGGAGCAGAAGCAGCAGCAGGAGCGGGAGCGAGAGCAGGGGGTCTGCTGCACGGGGCATGTGCTGCATGTGTATTTACCAAACTAAACCGAAATAATGCCCGAAACTGCAACAGCAAGTACAACTACGCACTCTCGGCTACAACAATAAAATGCCAACGACTGCAAAAGCGACTGAATCCCGATCCGTGTTCCTGTTCTTGTCCCTGGCCGTACCAATACCCGTGCCCCGCTGCCCTCTACCCCACGTTTGAGGGGCTCACAAACCAAACAAAGGCGCCTCCGCCGATGCCACCGTATTTTCCAGTTTGCCTAACTGCGTGTGGGTCGACCAGGGATCTGGGCTGCTGCCACTGCTGCTGCTGCTGCATAGGGAAAGCCTGCTCTGCTCTGCTTTACTGTGTTGTGCTCGGCTCTTGGCGCTCTTGTTTGCCATGAAATGCCTGTTTGTTTGCATGGGTTTTGTGTACTTCAACATGGCCGACGCGACCCCTTCCCCTGCTCCCGCTCCTGCTCCTGCTCCTGCTCCTGCCCTGACACCCCTTCAACTGTGGCAGCTGCCTTCGGTCTGCTTTTTGCATTGAGCGGCGATTTGCAAGCATCAGCGATATTTGCCGAATTTAATCAGAACGCCAGCACGAGAGTGCCCCAGCTCGAACTCGGTTCGACTCTCGCCTAGGTCTGCCTACCCTTGCCCCGCCTCGCCTCACTGCGAATCTTTAATGTTGCTATCCTAGCCATTCCATCAATATTTTGCCAACAATTTTTGTCAGTTGGCTCGAATTCCCTTGCTTTCTTTTTGCTCTTCTTTGCTGTCATCAATTTTGACTCAGGCTAAACTGTTTGCAGTTTTCGACCCCGTCCACAAGGACTAAAGTTGACAGAATTTACAATTTGCTTTGACCGGCATGCAATCATAGCTGCATAAATATAGCCTCAGCTATTAGAGATATATTTAGATCATATAGTTATATTGTAATTGAATATTATTTAAAGAAAAGTATTCGCTATGGAACTAAGGACAGGTAGTTTACTTTAACTGAAGTATAGATAAAGTTCACGATTAACATGAAAGTTAATATCAATTTCGCTATAATTCTCTAATCATTATTATTATGTTAAAATCGTCACCATTATTATCATCAGTAATATTATGCTGCTGAGCTTATGTTGCTAATCTTTTAAATAGTATTATTTCATTTTATATATTATTATTTTACTTGATAGAACATATCGCCATTTCGACAGTATTATGATTATTATTATTATTATTGCTATAATTATCATTATCTTTATCATTATTAAAATATTAATAATAATTCAGTTAATGATCAGTGTACGAGTTAATTATCATGATAAAAATATAAGAGTTGATTAAAGTCCTTTGAATTTTAATCATGATTATTATGATCATTAAGTAAATAAATATTAGAATAATGATTTCTATTTTTTATATCAATTATAAGGACAATTTAATTTAATATAGCGATTTGATATTCATGTACAAATATAATAAGTATATTATTAATATATATAAAATAATATATATGTATATGCATTATAATTGATAAATATTAATAATACATATACATTTTTTTTATATTTATAACAATTATTAATATACATAGTTCTGTTAACTATTTTAAATATTTATCTCTCACAGAATGCTTATCCACTGCACGTCCGACCACCACGAGTTCTGATATGCAACTAAAGACCCGCTACAACAAGCTGGCCTTTATATAGGAGCTGATAACTCTCGAACTCATTCATCGAGCTGTTGGGATCAAACACTCGAGCTCAAGATGTTGCGCCATTCGCTGAGCTCGATTTGATCGGTGAGAGAAGAGAAGAGCAGAGCGTATACTCGACTCTCTCAAGCATTCACAACTACAGCTACACACAATTATTATTCTAATTGCTCATCTTCAGCTCTTGCTGTTTCTCTTCTATATGAGTGCATTAATGAACTTTCCTAATAAGTGTTCGATCGAATGTGAGTTGATGAATGACGTAAACAGTCAAAGAGAGAAATAAGCAGACATAAATACATTTTCATCCAATTTTATGTATATCAGATGAGTTCATTGATTAAATCCGGAACCCATATTTTTTAATTGGAATACTAAGCTTTATTATATGTAAGTGTAATCATTTCAACTAAAACATTAATAAAAAAGTATTTCCTTTAATTTTTACAAATTTTTCTTCATCGAAGGGAACTGCTTGGATTATTTAAATATTTTTAATTAAAAAGGCAAAAAATGTAGATATGTGATTACTAGATAATTGTCTCTGGATAACATGACTTTAATTTAAAATATGACATCTCTAATTAAATATATAAGTAACATACATACTCACTCAATATTCAACTAATCAAAACTGGGAAAATACTTATAAAAAGTTTTAAAAACTCGAATTTCTTTCGTATTTTAATATTTTGATTTTAGATTTATAAAATCAATAAATATTATTCATTTTTATGAATACAGAAATTGCATTTTACTCAAAAATGTTGATTCAAAAAAAGTTTAAATATTTCTTTGTAGTGAAAAGTTTAAATATTTTAAATATTTATCTCAGTTTTGCACTTCCGTTCAGTAAAGGTCCATCTTCCGGTCAGCTTGATTTTCTTTGTTGTTGTCGGTGCTGTTGCTGTTCTATTGGTTGGCTTATTGACTCTCTAAATGTTGTCGGTTAATTTGTGCATGCAAATGCAATTTGTGCAAAGTCAATTAAATGGAATCCCCTTGCCACATAAAACAAATCATAACTGCCTATAAATAAATGTTGAATAAATTAGGCACACTCCATTCGGTGAGTGCTGCTGCTATTGTTGTTGTTGTTGTAATTGCATTTGGTTCAGTGCTGCAAAATTGGTTTTCTCGCTCGGGTAAATTAAAATGTCACCACTCGAATGGCCAAAATGTAAGCACCAACCAACCAGACAACCGACTAACCAACCAACCGACCGCCGGACAGACAGACAGACAGACAGACAGAGGAGCGATTCACATTTACACAAACCACATAAACATTGCCCTGCAGTCTGCCTCTTGACCCACCCGCACACATTTAAATAGTAGTTACCAGCATTGAATTCCTTTGTGCCAGCGAATGGAAGTGGAAATGGAAATGGGAATAGGGAATGAGAATGGAATGGGAGTGTGGATGTGCATGGGGATGTGGCAGTCGCCGGTTGCATGCGATTATTCCACCACAACTAATTACAGTGGCAAACGGCGAGGCTGGCACTCCGTGTCGCAGCCTGCTCCTGCGGCCAGGACATGTTTAGGTCAGCCGCAGCACATACACAAGCCGTCCAATCGAGCGGAGCATGAATAATTTATTTAATAAATACATTCACAATTAAATCAATTGCGAATATGTGAGACAGAGCCAGGCCAGTGCTACAGCAGCTGTCCTGGTGTCATGTGGGCATGTGGCATGCGGCATGGCACGGCACATGCGGCAGGAGGCAAGTGGCAAATGGGCAGCAGAAGCAAATTATCGTGAGTCTGCCTGATCTCAGCGTAGGAGGAAATTTATCGACTGAGATATATGGAATAAGCTGGGATAAGCTTAATCTGGGCAAGGTTTACGGAAGTAGCAAATATTTATGTGCATATAAGAAAGGGACCATGTATGTGCACATATATAAATATATGCATAAATATATTTGCTTATCGATTTATATAAGCTAAGATCA